TTTACCTTTAGTGGGTTGTAATGTAATGTAAGACAGTAACTTCATCATCAAATAAAGTATTTGGCAGTAAAAATGCTTGTAATTGAATAAATGAAAAATAATTATGTTTAGTACATACTGTACTATGGAACTTTCAGGGTAGCAAAAAATTTTATAAAAATATAGCAGACTTTTAAGTAGTTGCATTTGTCACAGAAGGAGTAGAATTAGAAGGTCCTTTTTAATTACACTGAAGTACTTAACACCCTGTCTGAGGTCAAAGCTCTAAGGATTGCTGTCTCCCCCATCCCATAATAACTCATCTGGTACTCCGTATGAGTCATTTTCAATTAACTTTATTTTGATCTGCAGAGGTTACTTGCTTTTATGGTGTAGCAGCGTGAACACTGTTGATGTGTCAACCACAAACAGAGCTTTCACACACACTATGAGTCAACAGTTACATTTAGACCTGCTTTCACTATTGTCTGATCAGCCTATATTGTTTCTCATGTCCCTCAGCGCTCATAGAGAAAGTACATAATGTTGTAAACAAACACATGCATTGTTCTGATGCTCTGTGCTCTGAATAATCCAGAGGATGTGGTCCTTTAAAGTCAGATAAGGCTAATCAATACTGATCTATGTGATGAAAATAGACCTAACCCAAACAGAGTGCTGCTGCTCTTTACATAAGCCTGGAATTGAATGGGGGAGAGGTGGCTTCACATCCAAACCATAACCAGTGCACCAGAGTTCATTTTGTTGACTAAAATATTACAATCACTGTTATTGTAAATTTTTTGCTGAATAATAACAATATACATAAATGAATCAAAGCTTAACGAGTGGAAAATAAATCCAAGTTCTGCTTTTCAATCTCTGTGCCACAAACTGACCATGAATAAAATGTCTCATAGTTAAAATAAAATAAAAATCTTGTCAAAGATAACACTGGCACACATAAAGTGATTTGAGTAAACTGTAAATAACTGTTATAACTGATATCTATATTTTCAAGTTCGTTTTATTCTAAAAACTAAACTCACTTAAATTTTGTGCTCAGTGTTGTGTTGTTTTGCCATTGTTTTATGTAATCAAAGCTGCTTTTTTTTTTTTTTTTTTTTTTTTTTTCAAATTGATTTGATTTTCCTCCATTTCCTGAGATGCCCCATCACACAGCTGGCTAATCACATGTGGATGTGAATGTGACTTAACAACTCTTGCAGTGATCAATACCACACACAGAGCCAAACCAAAGCATGTGAGAAACAAGTCCAATGAAAACTCTTATATCAGCCTCCAGTTGTTAGCTGTGTGTGAATTTCCTATCTCCTATCAGCTCTGATATAAATATTTCTCAAAAGAAGAAATGACAGAAACCATCAAGGAAAAGATTGAGTGTAGTGATTTTTAAATGGTGCAGATAAAAGAATATGAGCTCTTCACAAATCTGTTTGATACAGGAGCAGAGGAATGCATGTCAAAGGCAGCACTTTGAACATAGTACATCTACATGTAGTACTGTAAGATAATGTAAAAATGAACAACTGGAATATATTTGAAAGCTTACATGTGATTTTAGGAGTATGAATAAAATATGTTTGTAGTTCCTGACTAAACAGGGGAATATGGTGTAGATTAGACTTTTACACCAGATATTAAAAGCAGAACAAAAATGGCAGCCTGTAAGAAGGTACCCTTCTTTTTCTTTTCCCAACAATATATTTCATATTTGTAGCACACAATATAACACTAAAATAAAATGTAAAACAAACATAGGCAGATATGTATTTGCAGAAGTTTATATCAAATTAGGGTTTTCACACAACTGTAATATAATAAACTATGGGTTTCATTTAACAGGACTTGGGTTGCAATATTGGAAGTCTAAATATTAAGACTAAATTAGACAGCTGGCATTTCTAAATCTGCAACACTGATAAGATTAAATGAGTCATAGTCATTATCAAACTGTGTCACATACCCCTGGGCTGCTGTGGAGGAGGCAGAGTTCAAACCAGTGTTTCCTGACATTGGTAATTACTTCTCAGGCTTAACTGGTGGCCTGAATCTCCTCACAGCTCCTCAGCTCACTCACCACTCGGGGCTGGGGCTCAGGAACTGTACATTTCTGCCATGACAGATTGGCCAAGTAAAAGAGTTTTTTTCTTCACTTCAAACCCACTGCATTGGGAATGGCCTCTTAAAGATGAATGGCCAGCCAATCCTCAGAGGGAAGATAATAGATGAGGATTAAATATAATCTCTCTGACCACTGGTGTGGATTTGGACTGATGCAGATGAGAAACCTTTTCTCGAAGAGCAACTTTTCAGACTCAACTCCAAACTTAAATACATTTGTTCTTTTCTGTGGTCTTTCTTACCAATATAATATATACTTTGTGCTGCAATTCTACATACAGTGTTAGAACTGCATATTTTATGAATATCTTATTGTCCAATGTGAGTCATTCAGTAACATTTAGTTTGTATTCATCGCCATCTAGTGGACATACCTATTAACACACATGGCATTTAACACTCAAATATGTAAGCATCCAATGATATGCCATGTCAGTGAGGCACTTTCTCTTATAGATTTTATACACATAGGAAATACATAAGATTATTCCATAAAAGGATGTTTTTTTGGAGGAGCATTTGAGGGCTGAAGACTGTTCCTGTGAAAGGAGCCAGAGAGGGGAGCAGAGCAGAACAGTCACATGATGGTGTTGGAGCCTTTAGAATTGATCAGAAACGTCCAGTGAGGTTCATTTGGTCTTCTTTTTCTTTTTTCAGAACACTCTGAAGAAGACCGCGAGTGAGCAGTCAAAACTGTCAGGTATGAAAACAAATTTACATAAATTATCAGATAGGTACAGCAGCTGTATCTAGTTTCTGGAGTTTTCGGTGCAATAAAACATGATAGATATCCAGAGATGGGAAGAATACTTGAAAATGTATTCAGTTTCAGAAAACTAAGTACCCACATTTAGATGTAGCCTATGAAAAGAGGAGATAAGGTGAGCTCTTGAATGGGGCTATAGTGAGTCGGAGGAGGGATGTAGTACACAAGTGCTCTTCAAGGATGAGGTCACTAGGCCACTTGAGATGGGAACAGAGATTAGACACCTACCAACTCCACCACTGCTTACAGTTCCACGTTGGTAGGTGTCTGACCTCTTTTCCCATTAAAATGTGGCCTATTTTGAAACATATTTTGTTACATGGTCCACATTAAACTGACATCTGATACTTAGAATACCTTTACATTGGATTGCATTTAAATTATAGTATAATATATGATTTAAAACAGCTTAATGTTTGTTTCACGTGAGAAAGGAAAACACACATGAATACAGAGTATAGTTCCTCAAAATGTGTTAATTTCCGGTAGCCTACATGCAGTCAGTTACTTCCCACACTTTAAAAAAAAAAAATTATTTACACTTTTTAAAAAATATATTATTTTATTATGATTATTATTAGATTAGATTATGTTCTGTTATAACTTCCAACTTGAAAATCACTTGTTTGAGTGAACGTTATCATGTTATATTTCCACAAGAGGGCAGCCACTGCTCAGATTTCTGTGCTGTTGTGTCGTGCTTATTCTGCCGTAGCGCGTCAGCCCGCTCTGCCCAAGGACATTATTACACACTCAATAAAGCAATAGTCAGCCATTTTCTCTGCTTAATTGATCCCAGCGCTGCTACACAATGTGTTGCATGACATTTTACTGCGGCAGGACGCGACAGTAAAATACCTCGGAGGAAGACGTTCTATTCGTAATTGACTTGTTGTGGTGCGCTTGTTGAGTGGCCATCTGTAAACAGCATGCAGGACACTTGTTGGTCAGTGCCCAGGTCAGTGCTGCATTCCTGTCCCTGTCTGCGTCTCTCATGGCGGGAATAATGCCTCCGCTGTGCTGCTATTTGCCAGACCTTGTGAAACATTTGTGCGCAAGCGAGACACAAGCAGCTCTTTCCCAATCCCAACTAATGCAGACGTGGAATTGACAAACAAGCATGAGGGAAAACCTGATAAGAGATTGTTTATGTTGCTTATGCAAGGCAATAAAAGATAGTGGATTCTTCCATCATAAATATACAAGCTCTCTGAGACACAAAAGCGCAATTATGTAAACCCAAACTGACAGCTAAATTTTGATTTCATGTATTTCTCAGAAGACATAATTCCAAAACTCATGCACATTTCAGATTGCTTGGAACATCGAGTTGGTTGCGCTTTAAGTAGATCAATGCAAATCTTAGACTTTCCCAGCAAAGACAAGAGTATGAGTACAAGGAAAAGAGTATTACGAAGAGAAAGGTAACAGCAGGTCATATGCACTGATAATGCAAATGTGCAAAATGCAGCTATAGATACCATTTCAAACTTAAAATGGTTAAAATGATAGATGTGGATCTTTTACAGTTGCTCTTACTGCAACTAAATATATCATATTACAGTTGCATATATGCATTTTGAGCATCAGTGCATGCTTTTAAAAATACATAATACATAAATATGTTAATATGAAAATATATTATAATAAATACATAAATAAATGTTTTGATGAAGTGACATTAAGGCTCCCACATAGTACTTGTAATCTGTCCACACTTCCTTCTCAAAGCCTTGGTCCTGGCGCATGGATGATCCTGGCTTTGCGGTCACAGTGTTCCTCTCCAGGCCACTCCTTGTTCTGGAGCAGAGCTGGCCCGCTACAAGTGCACATGTTTAAAGCATGGCCCAAAAGCCCTCTTTCCTATTTTGTCTACTCTGCTTCCACTCCACTGGCTACACAAGAGCCCGGACTGAAGAGGGGGTGGGTTTTTATCTTCAACTGACACTTCCTCCGACCAATCACAATTTTTTCCACTCCCTCCCAGTCTCCAGTCTCCTCCCCGCTGTTGTTTCTAGGCGCACCAACAACCAAGGGGAGGGAGAAAAGTGTACGCAGAAAAAAGTCACAGCAGTAGGCAGGCGGCTTCTGGGTTTTCCTTCCCTGCTGGAGTCCTGTGTGAGCGCGGAGGGCGTTCACTAGTTTCACTCACTGTTTGCCACAGGAGCAGGAGCAGCGGCACAGCGCCTGACCTGGAACAAAGGGGAAAAAGCAGCCAAAGCACTGGAGAGGAACTCAGGGAACTCCAGGGTATTGAAAAGACACACCTGGCTACTTCATCCTACTTTCTTCTACTACTTGTGCACCTGTCTTTGCTTATCACATCCTTCAAACTTGCAGAAGATGTCTGAAGATGATTGCCGGTCTCCCATTGGTCTGGACTGCTGTAGCTGCTGCCTGGATTTGGCCAATGGTATTGATGAGTCTATGGGAGGCAGGGGGAGTCCGAGAGGTTTGGGGGCACTGCCAGGGAGTCCCACCAGCCCAACGGTCAGTCACTTTCGCCAGCTTCGCCACCAGCTCAGGTACCAGAACCTGAACACGGACAAGCTCAACAACATCATGAGGCAGGATTCACTGGAGTCTGTGGTGAGGGATCCATGCTTCCTGCTCAATGAGGGCATCTGCAACAGCAATATCGACCAGACCATGCTGTCCATCCTGCTCTACTTCCACAGGTATGGCATCTTGTTCAATACTGACCGTCCATGAAGAAAACATATGTTATTGTGTCATAATAAGTCACAACCCATGCCTGTTACAGTTTAAAAAGTGTTAAAAGTAGAAAGCAAATCAGTGTTCACAAATACACAAAACTGTCACCAAAAATAAGAATACACTTGAACATAATGAACTTATAACTTATAATGAACAGGTTATGTAAAGATAAAGATAAAAACATAAATTAAGATAGTATTTCCCAAGAGCATTTACCTTAAACCCCTCACCATGATGACCATGAACAAAAACAAAACAACCATGAAAAACAACACATACATAAATACTTTTTCAGTGAATCAACTTTAAATAAATAAATACATCAATACATAAGCACATAATACATATACTTGCATTCATTTTCTGGAGACTGTTCCTAACCTTAACCTCATAGTTACTTCTTACATAACCTTAACCTAACCCTAACCTTAACCTATTTTAAACTATATCTTCATTTTAAAATATGTTATTGATTTATTAACAACAACAATATTATTTATTGTTAAAAGAAGTCCCCATGAAAGAGGCATATCCACATGAATTAAATATGTATAGAGCTTTTTGATTTTGTGATGATTACTTGCCCATATTTAATTCAGCACTTTTTAATTCAGCCTTTTCTGCACCTGACTAAATCTCTTGCACAGCGGTGAATAATAACAGATGGTTTGTGGAGACTAATGGTGTTTCTCAGCACATCTCCTAAAAGGCTGACACTGATGTTTACTGTTATGGATTAAGTATATGGTGCAGAATGCTCATTTTGACAATCTTCCAAAGGGAGCTGTCATTATGAGCCAAAGTGGGAAACAGCAAAACAGGCCTGAATCATCAGCCAATGCACAAATTATCCTGTTCCAAACAACATAAGTGAAAAGTGGCACCTTCACACAGCTGTTAGTGAGAGCTTACATAACAAGGAAATGTGTTTTAAATGACAGAATACCCAGTGTGATTTTTTCATATTTAATTGTATAAAGTGTGGACATGGGCTGTGGAAGTGGTCCTGTGTGAATGGATCCAAGAGCTGAAGTGTTGTGGCTCAAATGTGCAGAGCAGGAGGCAGATGGTCATAATGTTATGCGTGGCTAGTTTTTTGTACAAACCAGAACACAATGGCTATGTTTACTGCTGTACTGTTTCCATTAAAACCTTCTTTGTAATAGCTTGAGGTCAATTACTCCAACCTTCCTCCCTGGTGTGTGTAAAGCACATTTGGCAGCACACCTCACAGTGTTTGTGAGCTGCTCAAAGTGCTGCCTCACACTGTATGTGCCAGTTGGCCCAGTGCTTTGGCAGTGTCTCCTCAGTGACTCCTGTGTCACATCACATCTCCCAGCGCAGGCCTCTGCAGAGTGCTGCAGGCTGCACTACTGTACACCTGTGCCTCAACCCCATCACACCCGTTTTAACCTGAAATTTAACTACTGACAGCTGGTTATGTCATTACATGATAACAATAATATCTAGGTATTCTGCATTGTTTTTATCTGAAATTATTGACCTTTGTATGCTACATTGGTCGAAAGGTTGAAAACTCAATCTTATCTATGCATCATTGTTAATGTATAGATGTATGTAAATAAAACAGACAAGGAGTATCTTCAATTACAGCGTGATAATAATTTTAGATATCATTATTCAAAATGTCAGACTCTTGATATTTTTTTCTTTCAGTTTAACCTACTTCCTTATCTATTTCCTTTTTAATCACTCCCCTCCACAGTCAATAAAATACATTTTAACCACAGCCATGTTCAATTATCTAAATTTACATGCCAAATTAACTTTGTATTATCACTTTTTGTTTACTCATGTTATCTAAGAAATGTGCTGCCAAGAGATTTATCAGACCGTATAAATTGTACCCACTGACTTATCTACCCAACGCACACCAAACTTTAAAAGGGATCATATGATGGCTGTGCTTCTACATTTTATAGTCTATTCCTGCTTTCACATATATATTTTAAACATTGTATTGTCCCCGTAGGGAGATTTGTCCTCTGCATTTGACTCACGTGGTTGACTATAGCGTGCCAATAGCATTTGTATTGTCCAAACCTGATTGAGTAACAGATGCTGGCCCTGTCTGTGTGGCTTGACCTCTGCTGTTGGTCAGTGTGGCTATACACCTCTCAGTGCCAGCTCACTGTTTGCCTGACAAATACACTTTTCCAGCCAAGAACACTTTGTCCATGAACTTCCACATCTCAAGAGGGCCTGGGTAGCACAAGTCAAATGGTTTTGTAGAAACAATGATATTATGGAGACTGATAATTTTACATCCAAATAGTAGTATTTCAAATAATAATTAAAATAAGACCAGGAGACAGGAAAGACATCTTAAAGGAGTGATTCATGTCTATATGTTTGAGTACTCCTGTATGGATCTGGATTTGACAGTTGAGTACTCAGAAAACATTTTGTCATCTGTTCCCTATCTCCGTCCATAGCCCAAAACTTGTTTGTGTTTTCTCTTTAGAATAGCACCAAATAATTAAAGTTGTTGTCATAGTCTCACCAGCATCAGAAAATCAGTTCTGCAGTTTTGAAAAGGAAGTCAATGAATCAGTAAAATTGAGCAATACAAAGAAGAAAATGTAAAAGAATGATCTATGTATGTGATAGTGCATTTTTAAATATCAGTAAAAACATAGTATGCTTTTTAAATACTTTTGTATACATGTTGATATGAAGTTTGCAACTGGCAATCAGTCATGAGTCAGAAGAGGTGTTTTCTTGAGTCCATGCCCCTGGGTCTCCACTACTGCGTCATACATACATAGTGTTTCTCCTTATCGTCTGTAAAAGTGTCCATCAAACCTGGAAAGAATGACAGTGTTGTGATAGCTAATGCCCCAGTATGCAGACTGTCATGTTTGGGGCTGTAGAGTGTGCAGCTGCAGCAGAGATGACACAAAAAGTGCAGACAGGGTTGAAGAAGACACATTTCTAACACTGACAGTATCTGAATGGTGTTGATGCTCACAGTATGAATATGAGTGAGCCACTTTGACTGGAAGTATATTTAAAACTGCATTGTCCTGTCAATGCAATTGACAGAATGCTCCCCTCCCTCATGATGTGTGCATTTTTTCTGTAAGATCTTTATACAGAATTATCTTCCACTATAATACCACATTGTTTATATAGGGACATAAAAAAAAAAAATATATATATATATACACACACATAAATAATGGTTAAAAATGTTATTGCTTGTCCTGGAGTGCTGCACAGTATGACATTCAGATTATCTATGTATTTATATTATTCAATTTGTTTTTATTGCTAAGACAATACCTTCAAATTATGTATTCGTAATGTGAGGGAGGTTGCCTCTCCACAGATCTGACCTTGGCCTAGAGGTGCCACCTCGACTCTATGATCACTGATATGTTGAACATTCCAAGCAAAGCCATACAAGCAAGTTACAAGGTCTCCACCTAAAACGTTACATAACGCACTTTGGAAGTATTCAAACCTAAATTACTTGCATGTATTTTGCATATTTTCCAAGACAAGATAACTGTTATAATAGCAAGTGCATTCCTTAGAGGGAGCATGTCCCTTTATGCCCTAAAAGCGTAACCAGCAGAAGTTTATAATGGTGATTTTGTGTTTCTCCCTGCAAAACGATCAATGGTGTCAAATCTGGAAGTACTACTACTATTACTACTACTGCTACTACTACTACTACTACTACTACTACTACTACTGCTACTACTACTACTACTACTACTACTACTACTACTACTACTACTACTACTACTACTACTACTAATACTACTAATACTAGTAGACTACTACTACTACTACTACTACTACTACTACTACTACTACTACTACTACTAATAATAATAATAATAATAATAGTAATAATAATAATAATAATAATACATTGGTTTTATATAGAGCTTTTCACATTAACTGAAAGACGCTTCACGAAAAGTGGCAGTGACATAGAGTTTTATGTGATTGTAATCCTTCGCCAAAGCACCTAAACCCGAGTTTCTAGTGCCAGCGTGACCTACAAAACCTTGGAGAGCGCTTACATAACTTGAGGGGTTACAGGTGGGCTGGGAGGATGTAAACAGAGAGGAAACGCTGATGAATGGTTTGGAGGGGAAGTGTGTGGAGCGAGTGTCCTTCTAAACAAAGGGTGAGAGGGTCCGTGCCATGTCAGGACAGCGGCACAAACACAGACAAGGGTGACACCAAGACACAACACACTCTGCTCACGAGCTAAATATAGGCAGCTATTTGGGCATGATAACTGCATCTATCATTCACATTCTTATGGTTGTTGTTGTTGTTGTTGTATAGTTTAATGAGCCCGTATTACACTATTTTGTAATCTGTTGTGATTTTTTTCCCCACACATGCAAACACACGGATATTCAGGCTATTTCTTCTTATCTCTGAAACAAAAAAACACCCTGTTCCACCTTGTGATGTCATGTGATAATACAGGAAGCTCTCCACTGTGTTTTTAAACTCCATGCACTTTCACTGGAATCATTTATTGAAACATGTGCGACTGAAACAAAACACAATGTTTTGGATGAGGTATCAACATTTTAACATGTCTTAAAACTCACAAGAGTTTTTTGCGTAACATAGGATCTTTAAAGACATAGGGCAAGTAGATGTTTAAAAATCTTAAAAAAAAATCTTCTCAATTACAATAATGTGAGAATTCCATGTCTGTGTAATCCCTCAATTGTCCAGGTTGGCTCCTTTTCAAAAGAAAATGTAATTCTATCAACTGAACTAAAGCCACTCTTGTTGGCCACTACCTCATTCAGTCTTTAGCCCAGTAAACTTGACTTTTTGTACATAAATGTAAACTTCCCTCATGATCTCTAACCTTAACTGTTATGTAACTGCATGTTATTAGTTTCGTGCTCTATAAAATAGTGTGAGAAAAGTTTATTTTTTACACATTAATGCTGTG